CAGCTCTGCAGCTAGCGGGGGACAATGTCTAGACGACAGCATCCTTGACACTGGCCTGGACGCCCCCGTGCCTGGATGTCCTCCTGCCTGGACACCATCCTGCCTGGATGCCATCGTGCTTGGACACCCTTGTGCCTGGACACCCTCGTGCCTGGATGTCCTCCTGCCTGGACACCATCCTGCCTGGATGCCATTGTGCTTGGACACCCTTGTGCCTGGACGCCCTCGTGCCTGGACGCCCTCCTGCCTGGACACCCTTGTGCCTGGACACCCGCCTGCCTGGACGCCCTCGTGCCTGGATGTCCTCCTGCCTGGACACCCTTGTGCCTGGACACCCGCCTGCCTGGACGCCCTCGTGCCTGGATGTCCTCCTGCCTGGACGCCCTCATGCCTTGAGGCCCTCGTGCCTGGACGCCCGCCTGCCTGGACACCCTTGTGCCTGGACGCCCGCCTGCCTGGACGCCCTCGTGCCTGGATGCCCCCATGCCTGGACACCATCCTGCCTGGACGCCCTCGTGCCTTGAGGCTCCTGTGCCTGGACGCCCCTGTGCTTGGACGCCTTCCTGCCTGAAAGCCCTCGTGCCTGGATGCCCTCGTGCCTGGACACCCTCCTGCCTGGATGCTCTCCTGCCTGGATGCCCCTGTGCCTGAACGCCGTTCTGCCTGGATACCCTCGTGCCTGGATGCCCTCGTGCCTGGACGCCTTCCTGCCTGGACGCCCTCCTGCCTGGACGCCCTCATGCCTGTACGCCCTCCTGAACACCTTCCTGCCTGGATACCCTCGTGCCTGGATGCCCTCGTGCCTGGACGCCTTCCTGCCTGGACACCCTCATGCCTGTACGCCCTCCTGCCTGGACACCCTCCTGAACACCTTCCTGCCTGGATACCCTCGTGCCTGGATGCCCTCGTGCCTGGACGCCCTCCTGCCTGTACGCCCTCCTGCCTGGACACCCTCCTGAACACCTTCCTGCCTGGATACCCTCGTGCCTGGATGCCCTCCTGCCTGGACACCCTCCTGCCTGGACACCCTCCTGCCTGGATGCCCTCCTGAACACCCTCCTGCCTGGACACCCTCGTGCCTGGACGCCCTCCTGGACACCTTCCTGCCTGGATGCCCCCGTGCCTGGACACCCTCCTGGATGCCCTTCTGCTTGGATGCCCCTGTGCCTGGATGCCCTTGTACTTGGATGCCCTCGTGCCTGGACACCCTCCTGCCCAGACGCCCTCATACCTGGACGCCCTCCTGGACACCCTCCTGCCTGGACACCCTCGTGCCTGGACGCCCTCCTGCCTGGACACCCTCCTGCCCAGACGCCCTCATACCTGGACGCCCTCCTGGACACCCTCCTGCCTGGACACCCCCATGTCTGGACGCCCTCGTGCCTGGATGCCCGTGTGCCTGGACACCCCTGTGCCTGGATGCCCTCCTGCCTGGAAGCTCCCCCTGGACCAGGACACTGCACTGCACTGAGTTCTGGGTCACACTTCATGCGTGATGACCCTGTGACCCTGTAGCCTGGGTGCCTTGGAGAGGGAGGCCTGGGAAAAGTCAGATTTGTCCCGAGGCTGGGGCATCCAGGCTGGGGCCTCGAAGAACTCCTGTGCTCAGGGACATGGTGAGAAGTCCCAGCCCACGCTCACGCAGCATTGACCAACACCGCAGTGTTGGTCCCCTGAGTGCTCTCCAGGCCGCCTCACCCGCCCTCACATCTCCTTGGTCGGTGGTTGGGCTGGGGAGGTGGGGCCCGAAGACCTGAGGGAGTCTGGGGTCAGGGACGGCAGCCAGGCAGTGGGGGCTGTGACCTTCCTTGTGAACGTGGGGGCTAGAGAGCCCCAGGCCCCCTGCTTCCAGGCTATCCCCTGTGCAGCCCCCTTCCCTGCCCCGCTCCCCTCCCCCATGACCTGAAGGGAGCCCCACAGTAGCAACCTCACATTGCCCGGGGGACTCAGGGCCTTATGCCTGCCCCACCCCCCATGGCACAACACAGGGACTCACCTCAGGTGGAAGTGGGGGTGGGCGGTGTCCAGCAGTGTGGAGGCGTGAGGGGACCAGGGCCACTGCGCTCCCAGGTAGGAGCTGGGCCCACATGGGGAACCTTGCCCTGAGGCTCCCGGGTGTCAGGGTCTGTCCTCTTAGGGGCCAACCCGCATTCGCCCTGCTCAGTCGCCTCTCCTAGAGAAAGTGCATCTGGGCATTCTTGCCACAAGCTCATTAGTAGGGAAGAGCGCGGCTCCCAGCTCCCAGCTTCGCTGAGCCCAGATGAGGCACAGAAGCTCATTTTATCCAAATGCAAACTTTTAATGGATGAAATTCTTCAACAGTGACTTTTTGGCTTTTCATAATGAGAAAAAGCTGTGCTCTCTCCCGGCAATGTTCTAAAATCTCACACCGTGAGACATTTTTAGAGCCTCAGAATCTGAGGCCGGAGGAGGCTGGGCCGTCACCACCACACCGAGGGCCAACACTGCACACAGGAGGGGCCCAGGATGGGAAACCCAGCACCCCTTTCCCCACGAGCTTTCGGGGTGGGCAGTGGAAGGACAGTGGGAATAGAGGTGGCACAGGCAGGGCGGGCAGCTCAGCTGGACAGTCGGGTCCCCACTGGACCGGAAGGAGGCTGCAGCCTGGCGGGGCTAGAAGGGCACTGCCTTGGGTCTGCTCTCACAAGGCGGTGGCAGTCACATTGGTCCTGCGGGGGCTGCACCTCCCTGTGCTGACTGGAAGTGCGTTTGTCAGAACAACTCACCACTGGGCTAGGCCCTGGAGCTTGCCTTTCCCGCCCTGGGTCCCTTTGTCCTCCAGGCAGGGGTGCCTGGTTCTGACCACAGAGCATCAAACTGTCCCTCGGGCCACCGGCTCACCACTCCCCAGCTCCTGGTCTGCCCATGCCCCATGGCCCTGTCTGGGGTTTGTGACATCTTCATGGAGTGATCACTTGCCCTCTGAGTGACCTGGGGATGAACCCATGAGCCTCTTTAGGCCTCAGAAATGTGGGAAGGAAACAGCAATAGCTGTGACATGAGAAGTCAAGCCAGGGACACAGGGCTGGCCCACACCCAGGCATCGAGGTGGCCTGAGCCATGGTGACCCCCCTTTCCTGCTGCTCGGAAAGCACAGAAGCTTCCTCTCTGCACGAAGGCCTGTCCTGCCCACCTGGAGCTCCAGGCCTGGGCCGAAGCCACACGTACCGTGGTGGCCAACACCCAAGAGCCACTCACTCAGAAACTACGTGGGAGGAGCATGACAGTCACATGTGTGTGTGTTCATGTGTGTGAATGCAGGTGAGTGTGTGCATGTGTGTGTGCATGTGTGTGGATGCAGGTTAGTGTGTGCATGTGTGTGCATATGTGTGGATGTAGATGAGTGTGCATATGTGTGTGCATGTGTGTGTTCATGTGTGTGGATGCAGGTTAGTGTGTGCATGTGTGTGTGCATATGTGTGGATGTAGGTGAGTGTGCATATGTGTGTGCATGTGTGTGTTCATGTGTGTGAATGCAGGTGTGTGTGCACTTGTGTGCATGTATGTGTGCATGTGTGTGAATGCAGGTGAGTGTGTGCACTTCTGTGTGCATGTGACTGCAGGTGAGTGTGCATATGTGTGTTCATGTGTGTGAATGCAGGTTAGTGTGTGCATGTGTGTGTTCATGTGTGTGGATGCAGGTTAGTGTGTGCATGTGTGTGAATGCAGGTGAGTGTGTGCATTTGTGTGTGCAGGTGAGTGTGCATATGTGTGTTCATGTGTGTGAATGCAGGTTAGTGTGTGCATGTGTGTGTTCATGTGTGTGGATGCAGGTTAGTGTGCATATGTGTGTGCATGTGTGTGTGTTCATGTGTGTGGATGCAGGTGAGTGTGTGCATTTGCGGGTGCATGTGAGACTGCAGGTGAGTGTGTGTGCATGTGTGTAAATGCAGGTGAGTGTGTAATAACTGAGCGAGTTGGAAGGAATGCGCCACACACTGGATTCCAAATTAAGAGTCCTTGTGATAACCTAACCTGGGTTAGCCTGACTCCGTCTTTGCTGCAAACCTCTAAGGTCCCTGCACACTCACACATGCGTTCACACATGTGCACACACATGCACTCAGAGGTGATCACACGCGCTCACACACGTGCACACACATGCACTCAGAGGTGATCACAGTCTTTTTGCATTCTGTAAACAGTTTAAACCCTGAAGAAATTTTTATCTTGTTTGTAAGTGTTTCAAATTAGACAGAAACCAGGGATTTCATCCACCAGCGTTCTGGAGTGACAGCGGAGTCCAAGGGGGTCCCCTTGTTAGGGTTGAGCCCCTCTAGATCAGGCAGAAGGACAGGACCAGGGACTCCGGACACCTGGAGTCCAGCAGCAAACAGAAGCCGACAGAACCAGGAACTCTAGACCCCCAAGAATTAAAGATGGGAAAAACCAAAACCAGGGCTCTTCTAGAGTCCAAAACAGAACCGGGACCATCCCCGAGCCCAGAACAGAATCGGGACCTTCCGCGAGCCCAGAACAGAACCGGGACCGTCCCCGAGCCCAGAACAGAACCGGGACCGTCCCCGAGCCCAGAACAGAACCGGGACCCTCCCCGAGCCCAGAACAGAACCGGGGCCCTCTCAGAGTCCAGAACCGGGACCCTGGACCAGCAACTCGGGCACCCAGAGCCCAGGGTCACAGGAATCACCGTAGTCAATTCCGGCGCCCCAGTAATTGGATGATCCCAGGAATAACCAGATCTGGCCTGATTTACCTCCTCCATGGAGCAGAACCAGGGACTCTGAGGAACAACTTTTGGTGGATGGCACCAGGAGTTGGTCCGCCCTCCTCCGGCAAGGGGTGATCTATGGGGCCCTGGAATGTCTCGGGCGCCTCCCGTGCAGTCCACCTCCCAGCTCGGGGGAGCCTGGAACGTGCCCGGTCTGCACCCAGAGGCGAATCTCGCTGGGGCCTCCAGACGTAATAACGGAGCGAGTTGGAAGGAAAGCGACACACACTGAATTCCAAATTGAGGGTCCTTTTATTGCCGGCGACCGAGAGACGCGAACGCTCGAAGTTCTCGGCCGGAGGAAGGGGCTCGATTATCTTCTATACCTTGATTTAGGTGGGGGAGGGGGAGCTAGCTGAAGCAGAATTTTACAGAGGTGGAGCAGGCGACTTAGCTGGTAACCAGCGGGGAGGAGGTTCCCAGGATTGTTGGTTGCTAAGGTTGTTTCCAAACAATCACCAAGGAGGGTTCAAAGAGAGTTACCCACAATAGCAGGTGCGCCCGCCAGGCAGGACGCAGCTGCACTGTTAGATGGTGGGTGATCACAGCGTCATTGTCAGCGTGGCCCAGTCATGCCCCCAGAGGGAGGGAGAGGCTCGAGAGAGCTCGTCAGCTTCGCAGCTAAGATGGAGTCCGTGAGGCTAACCCCCGGTTAGGTTATTCCAAGCGTGTGCGTTTGCGTGTGTGCATGTGTGAGTGTATGAGAGCATGTGCATGTGTGTACGTGCCTCTGGCACCTGCACGTGAGTGTGTACAGCAGGCGTGCATGTGACTCCTCTGCTCCCCAAGACAGAAAGTCCCACAGGCTCCACACCAAAGCCGCCTCACTGTGCCCCCCAAGGGACTTGGCACCCAGCAGGTGTTTGCTTCCTGAAGCGATGGTTCTTGCCGGGACATTTGAGATCACTCTGCAGGGATACGTTCAGCTTAAAAACCGAAAGGAAGGAAAAGCTGCAGGGCAAGTGGGGCATCCGCTGTTCTGTTAAGTGGGCGTCCGTCTTCTGGAAGATTCCGCCAGGCAGGCACAGGCGTCTGTGCGCATCTCTGGCCTTGGTTCTCCTCGCAGTCACAGGAGTTCCTGCTCTCCTGGCTCCCGGGAGCTGTCCCCTGCATGTCCAGCCTGCTTGGGCCTTATCTTGAGGAGTGAAAGTCACACTCTGATGACCCCACCTTGGGGACCAGCGTGGGTCAAGTGTTTCTCAGTGCTGTTCAGATGCTTCTAACAGCAATCCCTTCCATGACCTGCTCCGTGATGGAGGGCTCTGGATCCTTGGAACGGAGGTGTCTGCTCTGCCCACCCCCGCCCTGGCGGTCCTGGGCCCCTGAACGAGGCACACCCTCCTTTGCCTGATTCTGACTCCATGCCTGGTACTCTGGCAGCGTGAAGCCTCTTCAGAACTGGCGGAGCACCTCATTGAATCTGCTCCCAAACTGCTGGCTACATGTGCACTAATTAAACCTGCCACTGAAGAGAAGACGGGATGCCAGGCTTGGAGGTCCCCGGCACGGCGGCCTACAGGGAGCGTCCCAGCCGGGGACTGGGAAGCCTCTCCTGCTCCGCCCACCCCGTGCCATCTCCCAGCTGGGTCCCGGGACTCTTCAAAACCGTATTCATGTCACAGCGATAAATTAGCTCTCTCTCTCTTTTGGGTTTGCTTTTTCCGTGGGAGGAAAGCGTCTTCAGATGAAAACTGCTTTAGCAAATTAAGTCCGAATCAAGGAAGGAAGCTTCCGCGATTTACTGCTCAAGGGCCAGGCTAATGGGATTGCAGCGGCTCTGCACGGGGCTGATGTGGGGCAGCTCAGGGAGAGGCGCCGGGAGGGGCAGCTCCGCAAACTCGGCTCCTGTCGGTCCCGGGGAAGTCATCTGGACAGCTGGGCTGGCTGGATGAGGAGCCACACATTTGAGAGCCATCCAGCTGTTTCATGTGTCAGAAGCTCACAGGTGGTTTTCTCCTTCACAGCTTGATCCCAGAGGGTTTGACCAGGGCCCCCGGGCAGAGCTGGGCCGTTCTCGGGGGCAGCAGTCACCACCCAAGAGCCCAAGAGTCTCAGCATCTCCCCAACGTGTCCTTCAAGGTGTCCGCACTCTAGGCATCCCTCCCGGCAACCCCGAAGGAGTCCCCCCGATGCACCCCTTTCCGGAAGCCTCCACACGGAGCGCAGGGAAGTGTGACCTGCTGAGGCCTGCGTGTGTTGCTTTGCGCCTCTGTCTGTTCTGAATTTTGACACTTTCTAGTCAGGGTCTGAGAGGCCGCCTTGCGATGCTGCCTTCCTGCCGCTGGCTCTGACGCGTCCATACCTGGAGGCCTGGGGACAGAGCCCGTCCAGTGCACACCGTCCCTCTGGCCCCCACTGCCCACTGTCAGGGCTGGGGTCTGGGTGCCTGGCCAGCTCCAGGACAGCAGGGCCCAGAGCCCCATGAGAGGCTCTCCTATTCTGACACGCGACCAGCACGTGGCTTCCTGCATCCCAGGTGATCTCCTCTCCTGCGGAGGCCGGCCGTGCACATCAGCTCTCCCTCCGTGTCACCAGCCCCAGCGCAGGCAGCACCGCTGCATTTATGCTGGGCCCGGCTCCCGCCTGCTCGCGGCCAGGTCAGCTGCTCTGTCACAGGCTTCTCAGGTGCAGCTGTGCAGGCTTTGCCTCTGAACTCACCGCAGATGGTCACCGTCAGTGTGAACAGACTCTAGGGACTCTGACACTGATGCCGTCAGTGATGCCACACCACCTGCGGGCAGCCACATCTTCCAAGCTCACAGGTGTGGCCTCTGTCGCTGGGTGAGGCCTTTTGCCCACAGGACAGAAGCGTCAGCTCCAGCCCTGAAATGCGTTTGAACCCGCAGCAGAGCCCGGACCCTGGGCCTGTTCCTGCCTGCTCCCTCCCTGGCCTGCTCGAGGCCACGCTGCACTCGGCCACTGGCTCTGTTCGGATGGTTCCAATGTTGGTAAATGATTAACTGGCCACTTGTGTGTTGACAGGGGAGAGGAAGGAACCTCACTGGGGCCAGCTCGGGAGCGTTCTTCTCTCGGTTCCCAAGGCCAGCTGCACAGCTGTGACGGTTCCTGATTCAGCTCCCCCTCTGCCCCTGTGACCCAGGCTCGTAGGGCAGGCATCTGAAGTGCTCTCGGCAGCTGCTGGGAGCCCCACCCTCACCCCATGGCCTGTGCCCCCACAGAAGTGGCCCCGGCCTCATGGGGTCCCGAGCTCCGGGCTGCAGGGCCCACCTGCTGGTGCAGCTCCGGGGCCCAGAGGGTGGAGGTGGCAGGAGGCAGTCGCGGGCTTGGGCCTCACCCCCCGACCCCACGAGGGACGTGGAGCCTCCCTGCGCCCTGAAAACACAAATGCTCTGCCGTTGGCATTCCCATCCTCGCAGAGGCTTAAATACTCCTGAAGATGTGGGTTTGTCCTTTCTCATCATTCACTGATGCTTTTCCCGCGGTTCTGAGGGACAAGACACAGGCCCCTCCCCAAGCGGCCTTCCTGGAACGGCAGGCAGAGGAGAGGAGGACGCCGCTGCCCCCAAGGTCTTCCCACCTGCCTCAGCAGGCTGCTCCTGGGCGCAGGGCATGGGGTGAGAGAGGGCAGGACCCCCGGTGCCAAATGTGTGAGCAGAGAGGGGACAGCAGGGTGCAGAGGAGCACAGGGCATCCACAGGGTGGGGGTCACGCAGGAAGGAGACGGGGCCACGCCTGGGACAGACGGCTCCACCCTGGAGCTCCCTCCACAGACGGGGGCTTTCCACAGCCCTGATCCCCCACCCCACCCAGGCAGGGAGCAGCAGACACGGAGCCAGGTCCCCAGGCCCTCGTCACCTCCCACGGAGGCCCATCTCCTGAAACCGGGGGGCTGCACTCACACGAGACCACAGCAGGAAAGAGAAGCACTCTCCTGTCTCCCGGGTCTCACCCAGCCTGAGATCCTGCCTGTCCTCCTCCCCAGGCAGATGCAGAGTCTGCAGATTCCCTCTGGGCCAGGAATGCCCCTTCCTGGGAGGGGCGGAGCGGATGCTCATTTAGACAGCTCTGCTGTGCACACATGTGTCATCCTAAAGTTACCCGCCCGCCCTGCCCTCTGCACACATGTGCTGTTGTGAAGTCACCCACCCCAACCACTGCCGTCAGCTCCATTCAGGACCCTGCACTTTCAACCCCACGTACCCTCCCTTCACCCCCCATGCCTGGGTCCAAACCATTGACTGTATCAGAAAAGGTGGGTGCCGATGGCCGTGTGGAAGGTATGTCTGATCTCCTGGGCCCGGGTGCTAACTCAGGCCAGCCTCCTGCTGTGATGAGTCCCCAGGGACTCCCAGCAGGGTGGGAGGAGGGGGCTTGGGAGGACCCCTGGGCTCATTCCAGGAAGCAGGTGGGAGTGCAGGGGGACCCGCTGTGAAGCTCTGTCCCCCTCACCACACGGCCCATGCAGGACAGTGGCACAGGGTCCCCCAGCTGGTGCCAGGTGGGAGACAGAAGCATCACGTGTGCCCTGATGCGGGGAGGGCTCCCTGACCCGGTCAGTCCATGAGTTTCACACCCTTGGATTCCTGCACTGATGTGGGTCCCGGGCGCTGTTGACTGGTTTCCTGGCCTGATGTGGGGTCCTGGGCACTGGTGTCTGGATTCCTGCACTTATGTGGGGTCCCGGGTGCTGGTCCCTCCTGCCACTGCTGGTGCAGGAGGCCGGTGGACTCCTGTGCCTAGCATCATGCAGGGGTGAGGGGTGGTGAGAGCCAGCACAGCCCCTGCCCATCTCAGCTGGGGCCAGAATCCCACCGGGGCCTGGTGTCTCCCTGAACTCTGACTTGGGGCCCTGGCTGCCCCCATGGGCGGCCCCCTGCTCTCCGCACAGCTGAAGCACCTGGCGCACAGGGCTCAGGCAGTGGCTGGGGCCACCTTGGTGACCTTCCTGGGACTGAACACGCCACCCCGGGGCACAAAGCCCAGGCTGCAGCACTGCAATCGGAACCCCCCGACCAGGAGGCCTCCTGAGGGGGCCGCTGGGCCTGTGTTGCCTGCAGGAGTCGATGCTCCGACCTGGGAAGCCCACTTCAGGGCTGTGCAGGGCCCTGTCGGCTTTCCTCTGAAATCCATGCTGGAGACAGTGATTTTCAAGTAACGTGGAAAAATCTTGCTATAATTTAGCATGCACTCCCAGGCTGGCAGTTTCTTAAGGGAGAATGATTTGATTCCAAGTGAAATCTGCATTTAAATGAAGAGATAACTCATTCTGACCCCGGCACTGGACTCAGCATGGCCAGCAACCTTCGGTTATGGCTGAGTTCAGTGCCAACCTCTCAGCAGGACCCACCCGGTGCCCGATGCCTGTCAACACAGATGCAAGGCCACCCCTGTGAGACCAACCAATGTGCAAGGGGCTTAGTGTTCTGTGCGCCAGAACAGAGCTGCAGAGCTGCAGAACCCGGCCCCAGGGGAAGTGCAGGAATGCAGGCACCAGCACCCGGAACCCCACATCAGTGCAGGAATACAGACACCAGCGCCCAGGACCCCACATCATTGCAGAAATCCAGACACTGTCACCCAGGACCCCACATCAGTGCAGGAATCCAGACACTGTCACCCGGGACCCCACATCAGTGCAGGAATCCAGACACTGTCACCCGGGACCCCACATCAGTGCAGGAATCCAGACACCTGTGCCCGGGACCCCACATCAGGACAGTGCAGGCACCCAGAGGGCTGGCTCCTCAGCCAAGGTCAGCTGCCTTCTCTGAGGAGCCACAGAGCTCAGGGCCACAGGCACTGTGGAAGCTCCTGGAGGCAGAGGGAACCTGGGAGGCCTCCTGGGCCCCCAGTGCCAGCAAGGTCAGCACTGTGGGGTAAGGACACCAGGCTGCTGGAGCAGGCAGGCCCAGCTGCTGGTGGAGTGCCTTGCGGTTGTCAGAGGGGAGGCGGGGTTCTCTCTGGGCCAGCCTGAGGCTGTACATTTACAGTCAGGCTCCAGTGGGCGAGGCAGCTTGCAGGGGCCCCACATCCTGCAGGACTCGTGATCTTCACACAGCTCCCTCTGGAGCATCCGAGGCCAGTGCCCCGGGCCTGCCATTCTGGCTGCCTTGGGGGCCTCACCAGCACCTGGCTCCTCCCCACTCAGGTGGGAAGCCCCCAGCAGTGTGGGGCCCTTTCCTCTCCTGAGATGTGGTGGGCAGAGCCAGGCACACCGTCAGCCCTAATGGTGGAGGGTTCCGGCCCCTGACTCTGCTTCGAACCCCAGCCCAGCACCTAACGAGCCAGGCCAATCCCCTGCCTGGAGCCACCTGGGGGCCCATTTGCAGGACACATTCTAGGCCCCACCCCAGGCTTGCAGAGATAGTTGCCAAGGAAGGGCCCCAGGAACCTGCATGGTTGAAAGCCCTTCCCACCGTCCGAGACCCCAAGAAACGAGGTATCAGAAGGTGGGAGATCTTCTCAGAAGGTGGCTGCCTTCTTCTAACTGTTTGAAGCATGTTGTGTCAGAGAGGAGAGAGATGTCACCCTGGGCCTGGGGCCTAGCCCGTCCTGACCCCATAACCCCACACAGGACTCAGCCATGACCTCATGACCCATGAGCAGACCTGGGCCCAGCCATGACCCCCAGGGCCTTACAAGGCAGGAGGAGTCAGGGAAGGCAGTTAGCGCAGCTGGTGCCAGGTGCCCTGGCTCAGACATCCAGCCTCAGGGACATCTGCCCGAGCACAGGGGAGCAGATGGGGTCACAGGTGGAAGCTTCCCGCAGCCACACACCCCACGCCACATTAATGATGCAAGAGTCTGATTCGTTCCTGACGCCGCAGAGAGGCCACACTGGGCATCTGTGGGGAGAAAGGTTTCTGCTGCTCACCTGGTTTTGTGCACCTGGGCGAGTCCACAGAGAAGATGACCGTGAACTCTTGTTCCCAAGCAGCAGCCACATGACTCAATGCTGGAAGCCCCTTCACACCTGACTGCTCTGTGTACAGCGGGTACAGCTTCCTCAGGAAGCCTCCCAGGGTTGGGCAGGGGGCAAGCAGGGCAGGGGAGAAGCAGGAAATCTCCCCTCTGCCCTGGGCCCTTGCTGTGATTCTCTGGGTCCCCCTGGTTTCATTTTTTTGTTTTGAGACAGAGTCTCTCTGTCCTCCAGGATGGGATGCAATTGTGTGATCTTGGCTCACTGCAACATCCACCCCCTGGGTTCAAGCAGTTCTTCTGCTAATGTTTTGTATTTTTAATAGAGATGGTGTTTCACTGTGTTGGCCAGGCTGGTCTCAAGCTCCTGACCTCAGGTGATGCACCCACTTTGGCCTCCCAAAGTGCTGGGACTACAGGCATGAGTCATCCTGCCGGACCAGGGCCTCCCTGGTTTCTAAGGCGCCCCCAGGACAGGCTGTGGTCTCCTGCGCTAGCATCTGGGGATGGCACTGCTGTGCGTCTCCATGTGATTCTCATGGAAACTGCTCTTTGTGCAGGGAGACCCCCTGGAGAGGAACTGCTGCTCCTGGAAGGCCTCACTGAGGAGACAAGAGAACCTCGCAGGAATGTGGAGCTGAGAGCTGCCACTGTGTGGTTTCCTGAGGGGCTGAGGGCAGCATCCAGCCTGTGTAATTCAGCCAGGAGACTAAAGGAGAGACGGGACCAAGAATGGCATCCTCCACACTGGGCAGATGCCCCCAGGGTCCAGCAAGCCTGGCCCCGTGTGGGCAGATCCAGGCCCTCTCAGAGGGAGGGGAGCCTGTGGGGTTCTGGAGAGTGGGGTGAGAGGTCCCTGGGAACAGTAGTGAGGAGACGGTCTGCTTGGGAAGTGAGCTGGCCACACAGGACCTGTTGGAGCTGAGAGGGGCTGTGGTCTCCACATGGAGCCATGAGCAGGCTCTTTGGCCTCCCCGACTGCTCAGGCCAAAGCCACACACAGAGGCTCTTTACTAGACGTAAGGGTTCTGGGAGCTTCCAGAAACAGAATGGATGCTGGCCCCCAGGGCACAGGCCTGAGGCTGCAGGCTGCCTCGTGAGCTCTGGCCCCTCAGACCTGCGCTGACAAGCACCAGCAGACTCACTCAGAGCTGACCTGGGCATGGCCTCACAAACAGGATCTCAGAGGGACAGATGAAGCCAGGGAGCCGGGGACTGGGAGCCAGAGGCCCAGAACCCCAGGTGGTGGGAGCGGCCCCCACAGAGAAGCTGCGTTGTGAGAACCCACTGTGTCCACAAGCTCGTCGTCCACACCAGACCCAGAGCCTGGGCCAGAGCCCGGGACTCAGGAACAGAGGATGGGAGGGAAGCCTGCAGGGGGCGGACGGTGTGCAGGTTGAGAACACCGTCGGTCTCCGTCTGTCCAGCATGTCCTTGGAAAAGGTTTTCAGCTGAGAGGACTAATTTATAAGGAATAAAATAAATGATACTGACCTTGGTGAAAACCTTGTCCAAAATAATTTTCCACCACCTTCGCATGTCACTTGGAGACTCTGGGGCCTGAGATGAAGGGAAGGGCAACTGTCCAGGCCACACGGCCAGGAAGACTCTGGTCAATCAGGAATCCATTGGCCAGTGGCCACAGGTCCACGGGGGCAGCCACTGGTCCACGGGGCATCCACAGGTCCACCGGGGTGGCCACAGGTCCACAGGGGTGGCCACAGATCACAGGCTCCCTTGCAGCTCTTCAGGAAAAGAGAAGAGGGGAACAGAGCCCAGGACTCAGGGCGGGCACCAACCACATTCTGTGCTTCCTGCACATGCCTGGAGTCAGAAACACTTCAGACATGGAGGGATGAGTGGGTCTGGATGCCCAGCCATGGGGGACCTGGAGGGCAGCCCTTCTGGGGTGGGGCAGGCTCAGGCCAGAGCGGAGGAGTGGACTTCACTGATATCCAGACAGCACCAGGCTGTAGAGACCCCAGAGCATTGCTACAGACCCCTGGAGCCTGTGTGAGCCCAGCCCATGCCCCCGCACCAGTGGACAACCCGTCAGCTCAAGGCTTCCCTCCCAGGAGGCTGGCTTCACCTGCAGGTGGTGGTGCCCTGCAGCAGGTGCAGAGGCAGGTGAGGAGGGTGGGAGGAGGACCCCCGGTGGATGAGGCAGCCCAGGCCCACCGGGAGACAGCCTTGAAGATCTGAGGTCAGCAGCGACCAGTGGGCAGAGGTGAAGTTAGGACACCACAGGGTCCCAGCATCAGGTGACCAACATGGGCCCCACAACTCCTTCCAACCTGAAGCATTGAGCAGGGAAGGGAGCAAGTGATTTCACCCAAACCCATGCACTTCACCAGCAGCAGGAGGGCGGGGCAGGTGTGCCCTTCACAGGGAGGAGGAGGGCAGGGCAGGTGTGTCATTCACAGGGAAGAGGAGGGCAGGGCAGGTGTGTCATTCACAGGGAAGAGGAGGGCAGGGCAGGTGTGTCATTCACAGGGAGGAGGAGAAGGGAGGGGAGGTGTGTCCTTCACGGGGAGGAGGAGGGAGGGGAGGTGTGTCCTTCACAGGGAGGAGGAGGGAGGGCAGGTGTGTCCTTCACAGGGAGGAGGAGGGAGGGGAGGTGTGTCCTTCACAGGGAAGAGGAGGGAGGGCAGGTGTGTCCTTCACAGGGAGGAGGAGGGAGGGCAGGTGTGCCCTTCACAGGGAGGAAGAGGGAGGGCAGTTGTGCCCTTCACAGGGAGGAGGAGGGAGGGGAGGTGTGCCCTTCACAGGGAGGAGGAGGGAGGGCAGGTGTGTCCTTCACAGGGAGGAGGAGGGAGGGCAGGTGTGCCCTTCACAGGCAGGAGGAGGGAGGGGAGGTGTGTCCTTCACGGGGAGGAGGAGGGAGGACAGGTGTGTCCTTCACGGGGAGGAGGTGGGAGGGCAGGTGTGTCCTTCACGGGGAGGAGGAGGGAGGGCAGGTGTGTCCTTCACGGGGAGGAGGAGGGAGGGCAGGTGTGTCCTTCACGGGGAGGAGGAGGGAGGGGAGGTGTGCCCTTCACAGGGAGGAGGAGGGAGGGGAGGTGTGTCCTTCACAGGGAGGAGGAGGGAGGGCAGGTGTGTCCTTCACAGGGAGGAGGAGGGAGGGCAGGTGTGCCCTTCACAGGCAGGAGGAGGGAGGGCAGGTGTGTCCTTCACAGGGAAGAGGAGGAAGGGCAGGTGTGCCCTTCACAGGAAGGAGGAGGGAGGGCAGGTGTGTGTCCTTTACAGGGAGGAGGAGGGAGGGCAGGTGTGTTCTTCACAGGGAGGAGGAGGGAGGGCAGGTGTGTCCTCCACAGGGAGGAGGAGGGAGGGCAGGTGTGTCCTTCACAGGGAGGAGGAGGGAGGGCAGGTGTGTCCTTCACAGGGAGGAGGAGGGATGGGAGGTGTGTCCTTCACAGGGAGGAGGAGGGAGGGCAGGTGTGTCCTTTACAGGGAGGAGGAGGGAGGGCAGGTGTGTCCTTTACAGGGAGGAGGAGGGAGGGCAGGTGTGCCCTTCACAGGCAGGAGGAGGGAGGGGAGGTGTGTCCTTCACGGGGAGGAGGAGGGAGGACAGGTGTGTCCTTCACGGGGAGGAGGAGGGAGGGCAGGTGTGTCCTTCACGGGGAGGAGGAGGGAGGGCAGGTGTGTCCTTCACGGGGAGGAGGAGGGAGGGCAGGTGTGTCCTTCACAGGGAGGAGGAGGGAGGGCAGGTGTGTCCTTTACAGGGAGGAGGAGGGAGGGGAGGTGTGCCCTTCACAGGGAGGAGGAGGGAGGGGAGGTGTGTCCTTCACAGGGAGGAGGAGGGAGGGGAGGTGTGTCCTTCACAGGGAGGAGGAGGGAGGGCAGGTGTGTCCTTCACAGGGAGGAGGAGGGAGGGCAGGTGTGCCCTTCACAGGCAGGAGGAGGGAGGGCAGGTGTGTCCTTCACAGGGAAGAGGAGGAAGGGCAGGTGTGCCCTTCACAGGAAGGAGGAGGGAGGGCAGGTGTGTGTCCTTTACAGGGAGGAGGAGGGAGGGCAGGTGTGTTCTTCACAGGGAGGAGGAGGGAGGGCAGGTGTGTCCTCCACAGGGAGGAGGAGGGAGGGCAGGTGTGTCCTTCACAGGGAGGAGGAGGGAGGGCAGGTGTGTCCTTCACAGGGAGGAGGAGGGAGGGGAGGTGTGTCCTTCACAGGGAGGAGGAGGGAGGGCAGGTGTGTCCTTTACAGGGAGGAGGAGGGAGGGCAGGTGTGTCCTCCACAGGGAGGAGGCGGGAGGGCAGGTGTGTCCTTCACAGGGAGGAGGAGGGAGGGCACGTGTGTCCTTCACAGGGAGGAGGAGGGACAGGAAGTGTGCACTTCCTGGAGCAGAGGGCAGGACTGTGTGTGCAAGTCCCCCTCCATCCCCTTGCAGGCTCTTCCCTGGCTCCCACCTGTGAGCTCTGCCTTGATTTTGACTTTGCTTATCCAGGACCTGGGAAGAGTGACGCTGACTGAATATCACTGACTGATGAATAGGACTCTATCCATTGGGAATGACCCAAGGAACTTTCTGAGAAATGGTGTACCAGGAGATAAACTTTCTCTGTCCTTCCATGTCACAAAGTCCTCATTGTGCCACAAACTTAATGGATTCGTTCTCAGAACCTCATGCCCTTAGATAAGAAGCCAGACTGGTGCCAGTGGTCCTAGGGCAGGTGAAGGTGTGTGCAGGTGAAAGTGTCATCAGGTGAGGGGCAGGCAGGTGACCATGCGGGCAGGTGTGGGTGCAGGCAGGTATGGGTGTGGACAGGGGTGGGTGCAGGCTGGTTAGGGTGCCTGCAGGTGATGGTGCAGGCAGGTGACTGTGCGGGCAGGTGAGGGTGAGGACAGGTGTGGGTGAGGACAGGTGAGGGTGTGGGCAGGTGAGGGTGAGGACAGGTGAGGGTGAGGACAGGTGAGGGTGTGGGCAGGTGAGGGTGAGGACAGATGTGGGTAAGGACAGGTGAGGGTGTGGGCAGGTGAGGGTGAGGACAGGTGTGGGTGAGGACAGGTGAAGGTGTGGGCAGGTGAGGGTGTGGGCAGGTGAGGGTGCAGGCATGTGTGGCTGTGGGCAGGTGTGGGCGGGTGAGGGTGTGGGCGGGTGTGGGTGAGGGCAGGTGTGGGTGCAGGCAGGTGTGGGTGTGGACAGGGGTGAGTGCAGGCTGGTTAGGGTGCCCGCAGGTGATGGTGCGGGCAGGTGACTGTGCGGGCAGGTGAGGGTGAGGACAGGTGTGGGTGAGGACAGGTGAGGGTGTGGGCAGGTGAGGGTGAGGACAGGTGAGGGTGAGGACAGGTGAGGGTATGGGCAGGTGAGGGTGAGGACAGATGTGGGTAAGGACAGGTGAGGGTGTGGGCAGGTGAGGGTGAGGACAGGTGAAGGTGTGGGCAGGTGAGGGTGCAGGCAGGTGTGGCTGTGGGCGGGTGTGGATGAGGGCAGGTGTGGATGAGGACAGGTGTGAGTGTGGGCAGGTGAGGGTTCAGGCAGGTGAGGGTATAGGCAGGTGAGGGTGCGGGCAGGTGTGGTGTGGGCAGATGTGGTGTGGGCAGGTGTTGTGAGGGCAGGTGTGGGTGAGGGAAGGTGAGGGTGCGGGCAGGTGAGGCTGCAGGCTGGTGAGGGTTTGGGCAGGTGTGGGTGTGGGCAGGTGTGGTGTGGGCAGATGTGGTGAGGGCAGGTGTGGGTGAGGGAAGGTGAGGGTTCGGGCAGGTGAGGGTGCGGGCAGGTGCAGCTTCAGGCCCTGCAGGCGTCTTGCCTCCTCTGCCCTTCGTGGCAGCGCCCATGGGTTGGTGGTTTTTCCTGGGGTGCTCTGCGCCCTGGTGTGTGGAAGTTCCCGTCCTCCCTCCCTCCGTCCCCTCCGTTTCTTCTTCACTTGCCAGGTGGTGGCCCGAGATCCGCCCCCAGTGGCCTCGCCCTCTCTCTTCTGGGAACTTCCTCGGCTTTCCTCCCAGCCCCTCCACAGGATGTTTCTCGCTCCCACGGTTTTATTTTTGATTTCTCTGACTTCTCTCTTCTGCTCACGTCTTGGTTTTGATGTGTGGTTCTTACGTCATCGGAAGCCTCGTCCTCTTGGTGAAGGGTTTTGCTTGCTTGAGGAGGGATTTTCTTCTGCCCCACGAGTTCCTCTGTCTTCCATGCACCTTTTCTGTGTTCCGCCCTCAGAGGCTGGATGCGGCTGAAGCCAGCGCTTCCGAGGTGCCCCTTCTGGCCTCCTCAGGGCGTAGGGCCACAGTCTTGACCGACACCGTCTCCCCATCGCCAGGCTCTCAGGGGGTTGGGGGGAGAGTTGGATGTGAGTGGTCAGCCCTCTTCCCCCCAGTGTCGCCGATCTGTGAACATCATTGACTAAATTGCAGATTGAACTCGAAATGTCACCCTTTACGTGGAGGGGCCCCGCCTACTCCTGTCACTTTGTGAAGTCACCGTGGGACATCCCAAGTCTTTTCTGGAGACAGCAGCACCTGTTACTTTTATTTCCATTATATTTTTCTTGAGTCAGGGTCTTGCTCTGTGGCCCAGGCTGGAGTGCAGTGACGTGATCTCAGCTCACTGCAGCCTTGACCTCCCAGGCTGGAGTGACCCTCCTGCCTCAGCCTCCTGAGTAGAATTTTTTTATGTGTTGTAGAGATGGGGTCTTGCTATGCTGCCCAGGCTGGTCTCGAACTCCTGGGCTCAAGTGTCCACCCTCCTTGGCCTCCCAAAGTGCTGGGATTACAGGCATGAGCCCCCGCGCCCGGCCTCCATTTCCATTTCCTTTCTTATTTCTCCCCAAACGCTTAGTGGAATTTAAAGTAGGTTTTACCTTCTCCCTAAGACATAGAGCTCACTTGGCCCTTGCTGAACACGTGATTTTAAATTGCCTGGGGAAAGTGGGGGAAGCTGGGCTTTCTGTCCAGAGGGGCTGGACCCCCGGATCGTACCCAGGGCCTGCGTCCTTACCGTCTTGAGCACCTCCAGGTGCCAGGGAGGCAAGACAGAGGGACTCAGCCCAAATTTGGCAGCCGCCCACCCCCCACTCAGCCTGGTGCCTCAGGCCCTCCCATAGGGACACAGACCTGGGAGCATCCAGTCAACCCGAGCCTTGGGACTGAGCTGCCTGCTGCCCACACAAGCGGCCCCTGACCGGATCTTTTCCTTGTCCTGAAGGAACAACCCGGCTCTGCCTGTGTGCCCAGGGACGGGGCCGGGGACCAGCTCAGTTTCATGTGCAGGGAAATAGCCAGTCTTCCAAAGCCCCCTGCCTGCTGTGCTAGCTCATTTCCAGGAGAAACAAACACATCACATCCGATTTCTGTATTTCACGTTGCAGTTCCGGGAAGAAACCCCCTAATGTACGAGAGCTGGGGCTCCAGGTCGCCCTCCTCCTGGGGAGGTCGTAGCCAGCCTGGGTGGAAGGAGGACCCCTCCCCAGCCTGACAGCCTGCAGCACCCACAAGCAGGGACCTGGAAACTGGGAGCCAGGAGACACCCGACAGTCACCTCCGGCAGGTTCACATCCGCCGGCCCTGGCGGCCCCAGCACAGGGAGACCTGCACACGGTGTTCCGAGACCTCAAGCAACGCATTTGCTAAGACGGCAGGTGTGTTGTTCCAGTGACTTCCAGACGAAAGACAGCTCTGCGGCTGGCACCAAACTGGCCGCTCCAGAGGCCCAGCAAGGCCACGGGTCAGGAGGGCGGTCACAGCAGGACCCCCGACACCACCACCTCAAGGAAACCCTCCCCATGAGCCTCAGGGACAGCTGCGGCTCCCAGACTACCCATCGCTGGCCCCTCCGAGGGCCATGGGGTGAGGGTCGGCCAGGGACCCCCACTGGGAAGCCCACAGGTGCCAAGAGAGTGCAGCTGATCCGGCTTTCCCCACAGCCCAGAACAGCCTGCTGCAGCCCGGGGCAGGCCTGCTCCTTCTCTGAGCAGGTGGCTGGCCAGGGTCTGCAACACAGGCCAAGGTCCTCAGCCTCTGGGAACACTTACAGGGTGGTCCATGGCAGATCCAGTCACACCACCTGCCTCTTGCCAGTTCACGCCACGTGTGGCCTGGTCCCTGGGGTTTCGCACAAAGCTGAGCCTGCTGCCTCCTCTTAGCTGACCCCAGTTACCCCCAGTTGCCAGCTAGGTAAATCCCAAGCCCCCCAGCCAGCACCCCAGGCCTCCATGTAAATCCCCAGCCCCTCTCCCAGCCAGCATCCCAGGCCTCCAGGTAAATCCCCAGCCCCTCTCCCAGCCAGCATCCCAGGCCTCCAGGTAAATCCCCAGCCCCCCCAGCCAGCACCCCAGGCCTCCAGGTAAATCCCCAGCCCCCCCCAGCCAGCACCCCAGGCCTCCAGGTAAATCCCCAGCCCCCCCAGCCAGTACCCCAGGCCTCCAGGTAAATCCCCAGCTCCCCCAGCCAGCATCCCAGGCCTCCAGGTAAATCCCCAGCACCCCCAGCCAGCACCCCAGGCCTCCAGGTAAATCCCCAGCCCCCCGGACCAGCACCTCAGGCCTCCAGGTAAATCCCCAGCCCCCCCAGCCAGCACCCCAGGCCTCCAGGTAAATCCCCAGCTCCCCCAGCCAGCATCCCAGGCCTCCAGGTAAATCCCCAGCACCCCCAGCCAGCACCCCAGGCCTCCAGGTAAGTCCCCAGCCCCCCGGGCCAGCATCCCAGGCCTCCAGGTAAATCCCCAGCTCCCCCCACAAGCCAGCACACCAAGCCTCCAGGTAAATCCCCAGCCCCTCTCCCAGCCAGCACCCCAGGCCTCCAGGTAAATCCCAAGCCCCCCCGGCCAGCACCCCAGGCCTCCAGGTAATCCCCAGCTCCCCCCCACAGCCAGCACCCCAGGCCTCCAGGTAAATCCCCAGCCCCCCTGGCCAGCACCCCAGGCCTCCAGGTAAATCCCCAGCCCCTGCCGGCCAGCACCCCAGGCCTCCACGGCTGGGTCAAGCCTTTCCCCCCAGCAAGTCTCATGGCAGCAGCCTCCCCTGCCAGTCCAGTGCCCTCCCACCAGGCCGCCCACAGGCACCCAGGCTTCCTTCCTCTGTGCCCTCTTGAGCCCACCTCCAGGCTCAGGCCCTGCCTCTGGAGCAGTGAGTGCTCAGGTGACCGTCCATGTTGGGGCAGCTGAGGCTTCACTCTGCTCCCTGCTCCCTGCTCCGTGCACAGGGAAGACAAAGGCTCTCGGGGACAAGGCCCACGTCAGATTCCAGCCTCACGGTTGAGCCCTATTAAGAGCTCAATCACTTATGAAGGTTAAAAATGCTGCTGCTTGAAAAATAATCCGATTTAGCTGTTTAAATTTAGGGCACCCGCAAAACTTCCATCCAAGAATGTTCTGTGGCTCGAGGTGGGCCGCGCTCCCCTTGGTGCAGAATCCATGGCAGCGTGACGTTGTCTCCACCCAGGTGTGGGCTGCAGAGACGGGGTTTCCCACTGCTGACCTCGCCCCTCCCCACGGACAGCAAGGTGGCCCCGGTGGCCAGGGCGGCGTGGCAGGGCTGCTGAGCCTCTCTGCCTTACGCTGCTTCTCCTCCACCTTCTGGGCACCCGTCCTCATCCAGGAGCCCATTTGGAGGAGTGGGTTTGTTCCTGATTTGGGGAGGGTCTCCCCCCAGCTGTGGCTGTCGGGCTGGACTCAGGAGCCGCATCTTGGGTGCAGGTTGCTGGGGCTTCACACTCCCTGGCAGCCACCTGGCCCACAGGCAGAAGCGTCAGCCTGGGCCTGCCCACGTGGCCTGGTGTGTCACATGAACAGGTCCTATGCCGCAGTCTCTCCTGGGGGTGGAGCCCATCCCCCTGGCAGCCCCTGTTCCATTACTGCACGACATTCCCCAGGCGGGTACGGCCAAAGCATTCATTCTAACACTGAGCATTCTGGTCACTTCCAAATGTTGGCTTTTAGGAAAAATACAGAAGAGAACATTCACTTCCCTTTCTGTAGTAGATACAGGGACTCAGTTTTCTTGGGTGGTTTCCCAGGCAGAATTCAGGTCATGGGATATACATAGCTTAGCACCAGCAGGCACCCCCCAATGCTGTTTTTCAGAGTGAGTGTCCCAGCGCACAGCGACAGAGAGCCGGCTCGGGGGCTCTGCACCCTCGTGGGGGTGGCGGCGGGCCTTTCTGGTTTAGCTGCCTGGGGGAGGCGCTGGCGGCACCCGTTGTGCTTTCATTCTGCGTTTCCGGTGACTCACGGTGTGCGGCCGCCGCAGCCGCTCCCAGGAAGAGCCTGTGGACTCGGCTCCCGTTTCCCGGGATCATTCCTGCCTTTCTCTGGGGTTAGAGTTCTCCACGATTTCTGGACGGACACACGTCACAACACGCCCCGCAATAACCTTTCCCAAACCCACAGCTTCCTTTCTAAGTAACTCTTCGTGGTGCCGTTGAATGATAAAAAATCCTTAAGTCTGATGAGGTCCGATATTCCCGGCGTTTTTCTGCTACAAACAGTTCTTTTTATGCCTTGTTCTTTAAAATCTTCATCTCTGCAAGGCCTCGAAGATGAGCTGTGTCTCGGTTTTCCCCGGAAGCTTCTTTCTTTTCCTTCCCGTCAGGTCTGCAAGCATCTCAGGCCAGTGCAGGGTGGTGTGGAGGGTCTCAGCTCTTTTTCCTTGAGACCCCAAGTGGGTCCAGGGCTCGAGCTGCAGGCCCCGCCCTCCCCAATCCCACTGTGTGCACTGTCCAGTTCCCGCCCTCCCCAATCCCACTGTGTGCACTGGCCAGTTCCCGCCCTCCCCAATCCCACTGTGTGCACTGGCCAGTTCCCGCCCTCCCCAATCCCACTGTGTGCACTGGCCAGTTCCCGCCCTCCCCAATCCCACTGTGTGCACTGACCAGTTCCCGCCCTCCCCAGTCCCACTGTGTGCACTGTCCAGTTCCCGCCCTCCCCAGTCCCACTGTGTACACTGGCCAGTTCCCGCCCTCCCCAATCCCACTGTGTGCACTGGCCAGTTCCCACCCTCCCCAGTCCCACTGTGTGCACTGGCCAGTCCCCGCCCTCCCCAGTCCCACTGTGTGCACTGGCCAGTCCCTGCCCTCCCAAGTCCCACTGTGTGCACTGTCTAGTTCCCGCCCCTTTCCCGGCCCTGCGGTCTCTCGGTGTTTGCAGGTAGAAGGCGCCTCTCATCCTGTTTCTAAGGCCGCCTTGGAAGCAAGCAGGGTCCCACCTCCGTCCTGGGGTGCTCACCATGTCTGGGGCCCAGGGAAGGATGGGGCTTGGGCAGAGGAGCTCTGCAGGCATGAGCCCCAGGCCCGCCTGGAAACGCCTCACCCAGATGTGCAGCCACGGGGCCAGCACCTGCAGAAAGCCACGGTCTGGAGGCCGAAGGTGCAGAGGAGTCGCGTCCTCTGGCTGCACAGGGTTCTTCATGGGAAGGCTTTTCTTTGCAGGTTTCATTTCATTAAACCCACAAGGCAGTTTACACGTCTGTTCCTCCTCCTGCCAGTAAGTCGTGGCTTTCAAGGACTTACTGAAATGTGCCGTCGGAATTTCCCAAGATATCCGCACAAAACAGCTCCTTATCCAGCCTCCTCTTGTTGTCTTTCAACGTCAGCTGCATCTGTGGTTTCGTGACCCTTTCCTTTCTGAGATGGCGGGTTCACCTCCTCTCGTGTCCGAGACGATGGGTTCACCTCCTCTCGTGTCCGAGACGGTGGGTTCGCCTCCTCTCGTGTCCGAGACAGTGGGTTCCCCTCCTCTCGTGTCTGAGACGGCGGGTTCGCCTCCTCCCGTTTCTGAGACCTACAGCACGTGTCTTCATTCTTCCCACTGCCTCACCAGGACTCGTGCGTTCCGAAAGTATTTCCAGTGAAACAGGGCTGGCTTTAGTCGTGTTCTGCCTTCCGTTGTCCATCCTGCTCCCTTCTGCTCCCCGGTCACTGCATCCTGGAGACAGGCTCTCGGAGCCCTGGTTTTGCACCTTGTTCTCTCCCACGTGTGCCTGGAGGGTGTGCGAGTCTGTTCCGGCACCGCTTTAACTAGGTGTCTTCAACTTCTATAGCTGTGATGTTCGCTATTGTTTAGTTCAAAATGTATTCTAGCTTTCAGCTTAATTTCTACTTTGACCCATTTCAGAGTGTACTGCTTGATTTCTAAGTATTTGGGGATTTTCTAGTTGTCTTTCTCCTTGGCTCCATCGTAGGTATACCGAGTCAGACGCTGCACCCAGTGATTTCTGGCGCTGTGGACCCACTCAGGCTGTGTCGGTTCCAGCTGGGCAAACACACATGCTCTCGAGAAGGCCATGTTCTGCTGTGTGAAGGCTCAGCGTACGTCAAGTGGGTCCAGGCGGTTGGTCAAGCTGTTCGGTGTCTAGGTTCTTAGTGATTTTCTTTCTGTTGTTACATCCTGTACCCAGCCCACTTTCTTTTCACCCCATCTCCTGCCAATCTGTACCCTGACTCCCAGGCCTCAGTGCCCCTCCCCGAGGCTGGCTGCTCCTCTGAACCCCAACTCCCAGGCCTGAGGGACCCTCTCCTGGGCTGGCTGCTCCTCTTTTCTTGCCCCTCCTGGCTGCAGCTCTGCACGTGTGCCCTGCCCACAGGGAGAGGGTCCTTGTAAAAGTACAGGTGGGTAGGTAGGTAGATGGGAAATGGAGACAGATGTGTGTGTGGAGGGTGGATGGGTGGATAGATAGGTGGGTGGGTAGAGGATGGGTGGGTGGATAGACGGGTGGGTGGGTGGAGGATGGATGGGTGGGTAGATGGGTGGGTGGGTGGAAGATGGATGGGTGGGTAGACGGGTGGGTGTGTGGGTGGAGGATGGATGGGTGGGTAGATGGGTGGGTGGGTGGAGGATGGATGGGTGGGTAGATGGGTGGGTGTGTGGGTGGAGGATGGATGGGTGGGTAGACGGGTGGGTGGGTGGAGGATAGATGGGTGGGTAGATGGGTGGGTGGGTGGAGGATGGATGGGTGGGTAGACGGGTGGGTGGGTGGAGGATGGATGGGTGGGTAGATGGGTGGGTGGGTGGAGGATGGATGGGTGGGTAGATGGGTGGGTGGGTGGAGGATGGATGGGTGGGTGGGTAGATGGATGAACAGTGAAAGAATGAATGGATGGTGGATTGGGGGCAGAGGGTGGATGGGTAGATGGGTAGGTGGAGGATGGATGAATGAGTGGATGGATGGATGGGTGGATGGGTGATGGATGGATGGGTGGTGGGTGGTGGGTGGTGGATAGAGAAAGGTAGATGCATGGGTGGGTGGGTGGGTGGGTGGGTGCAGGGATACGTGGGTGGACAAGAGAAGGAAAGAAAAACAAGCAGATGATTGGACAGTGCACAGGGCAACAGAGGGAAGGGAATAGAGGATGGTCTCACCTTTCAAAAACAGAGGAAGGCCGACTCCGAGGAACAGCAGCCCAGCCTTAAGCGCTTATCCTCTCCCTGGAATTCACTATGTCTGTGAATCCTGACACACGGGGCAGACGTTTCTTGCCCACATCATAAAGAAATTCCTCTACAGAAATTCACAAACTGGGTGAAATATTAGGAACAAAATTATGTTTTAAGCCCCCTACAAAGAAACATGACTCAGGGGAGCTGGAGGAGGACATTCCGTTCCCTCCTCCTGGACCAGAGCACAGGCCTGACTCTAGAGCTGCGGGCTCCGTGGCCGGGCTGTGCAGGCAGACGCAGGTTCAGGCGCCGGGCCCGAAAACTGTGAGAACAAATGTTTCTCAGTAACTTTCTCTTAGATGAGGTTAAATATCATAAATACACAAATTAGTTTAACAAAACAAACATGTTTGGGGCCTCCTCAACCGCTTTGTGAAGATTCTTCTGGTTTTGTGTAAAGAAATGAAAGGTTTTGTGCTGTTTCTAAAAACGGCCATTACTGAATAAAAATGCAAAAGGCAGTGGCAGAACAGCCTGTAAAGGTCCGTGATTCCCACAGCCCGCCAGAGCCGGTCAGCCTGCGTGTGTGTGAAAGACGGACACACCAGATAGACAGATGCGTGGACACAGGGGCACACGGACACACCACGGGGGTCTCTCCCCCCACACGTCAGGGAGCTGTAGCCGGTGCCGGCCAGGGGTGGACACGGGGCCTCTCCTCCCCGATAGCTCAGGATGTGCTGCAGTGGGGTCACCTGGGAGATGCTGGACGCTCCTTCAGGGACCGTGAAGAGCAGAGTCCGAGCCCAGCCACCTGCCCGCCTGCCCCTCGCCCCCAGCACTGTGCTAGAGAGCCCATCCACAGGGCCCCTGCTCCACCCTCGGCCGTCTCCACTCACCAAGTGCCGGCCGTGACCGTGGGCCAGGCCTGCTCAGGGATAGAGGGTTTGGTGGAGAAAGGCAGCAGCACTGAACCGTGGGGCAGAGTCTGGGGTCACCTGGTCTCCGGCGCAGCCTGGCAGGTGGACACTGGACCTTCTGGGCCCGAACAAAATGGCTCCGCTTAACCCCAAGATGCCAGCGTGGGTTTGGCTCTGCCAGGGGAGGGCTGTGTGGCTCCTTAGCCCATTGGCCGGAAGCTGGGAGAGGCTCCAGAATGTTCTGCACCAAGGGGCGGGGCACCTGTACCTGAGCGAGGACTCAGTCCAAGCGTCCATAGTCACACAGACCTGGGGCCCCACCTTCCCTGGCCACAGCATGGCGTGGCGGGAGCCCTGAGGACGCAGTTCAGCTGAGCCAGCACTCGGCGTGCACAGGGGCCTCCTGCCCCTGGGTTGTCAGCTGTCTCTGTGCTCCGGGAACAGCCACCTGGGGGTCTGTCCCACATCACCCGAAGGTTGCCAGCAAGTGCTGACCCTGTACAGACCACACTGGTTCCAGGTCCCTGTCCGATACCGCCAGGACTGACCCTGTGCCAAGGGGTGGCCCTGCCATCTGCCCAGTCTCCCTGCACTCCTGTGCTCTGGACAGGCCCAGCACTCACAGAAGCCTTCCCTGGGTGTGTGGGGACCAGATTCCGGCCAGCGGCCCCGTCTGCACAGCTAAGCCAGGGCCCGGACTCCGGAATCTGCCACTTCCCTGCATTCCCTGCAGCCCCTGGAGTTGTCATCTCTTTACGCCTTTAATTAACTCGGCGATTATAGCGTCCTGCCAGTCGTGTGGAAGCAGATTTGGGCTCTGTGGGGAGATAGGAGACAGCCCCTCTCTGTGGGAGCTGCCTCTCACACAGCACCTGCGGCCGGCGTGGCTGAGTTTTAATTATCACGAAACCCTTTTGTGGCTTGTCATCTGTTTCAGACCAAAACCAACAAACGCATTCATTTATGTCTAAGTCAGGCCCGTCCCAAGGGCTCAGCGCAGACACAGCGCACAAAGACCTTTGGAGAAACCTGGCTGTGCCGGCCTGACCCCCGCAGGATTGAACCCGAGCCGGGGTCCAGCTCCCGCCGGCTGCTAGAGGAGCCTCAGACCCTGGGACTCACAGCTGGGAAGCTGGCAGGGAGGCCAGGGGCTGTCAGCAGGTCTGAGGCAGGCCTCTGAGGTGTTTCATAAACCAGGAGCAAAGGACGGGGTGGGAAGGTGGCTGCCATTTTTCTGGAAGCACCGGGAGATGTACGTGGTGTTCTGTGGTGTTTACAGAGGGCATCCACGTTTTCCTGCAGCAGTCTGAGGAGGGTCCCCGCCTCCGCCCAGGGCAAACGTGGGAGGGCAGGAGGCCGTGGGGTGCAGAGTCGGGGGCAGAGGTGAAGCCACCGCCTGGGGCATTTGGCCTCGCTGTGCCTCCCCGG